CAATGTTGCAGCCATCTTTCTGGCACATTGCTGATTGCCTTATCTCTGTTATTGCTACCACTTCGAGCAGCGCAGTAGCGTAAACCATTTATTTATGTATATGTATGTGAGTGGCAACAAATTCGCTTATAAATAACGAAAAAACATTTTTGCGCTGACATCATAATTGCAACCACATGTGGCAAATGTACAACCAAAGCTTGGTAGCCAGACAGCAACGTTTAAAAAAGAAAACAAAAAAAAAAAACAGAAACATTTAGTAAGAACGCGAATGTGTCGGTGGCGGCCAAATTGACAGACGTTTTAAAACATATACCTTTAGTTTGAAAATTGTTTCGAAATATATATTTTTATTTTTTAAAAGCGTTAATGCTCTTACTTTAACACTACATTCTGGTTTGTAAACATTTCTGTTGTCTTTCGCGAAATTCGGCGCGTGGCGAATCGAACAAACAAGTAGCATAAATAAAAGAGAATCAAAGATCTTTTATTGATTCTTAACTAGTATAACTAGACAAAGTGTAAATCCACTCGAAAATCGTATAAAATTACAAAGCATTATTCGAGAAGCACCCGAAAGCTGCACTTTACTCCACCGTTCCAATATGTATGTATGTATAAACATATGTGCATTTAACTGCACCCTTGCCTTATTGCATTTATATAATTTAATTTATTTTATTTTAGCGTCACACAACAGCCGTCCGTCCGTCCGTCCGCTAGCTGTATAATTTCTGTGTTTACTGTAATGTTAAAATTATAACGCATAAGTCACGAAATCGCTTAAGGCGGCTGTGAGGTTGTGGCAACAGTGCAATAAGAAAAATGCGATGTAAAGAAAATATAAGCAAGAATAATTTGCTTGGCTTGTATTTAGTTGGGGCGGCAATTGCAGTTGCGGGACATGTTGCAGCCGCCGCCACCGACGTCACCGCGGCATGTGAAAATCTTTCAACACGAAACATGCCTTTTTTCAGCCGCTGCAGCTACTACTGACTCTGGTCTATACAGAATGCTATTTTTTGTTTTGGCTACAGCTGAGCTTGTAAGTAATTTTTTCGAAAAAAATATTTTTTTTATTTTTAAATTTTTAATTTTTTTTTTTTTTTGATTTCTCAAAGCTTTGCACTGCTGCTTTGTTTGGTTGCAGCCATATTCCAACAAGGTATACGTAAGCGTATTTGCACATTGCAACTAAACACGCGTCTATGTATGTGTGTGTGTGTGTGTGTGTATTTCGTTTATGGTATGCATTCTGCCATATGTAAGACTAATTTTATACGCGCTGCCATAACAACAAAATGGTTTATTAAGAAGGGAAATGAAGCGTTTGCCATGTAGAAATTAAAAACAGCAACTACACAAACAACAACAACAACCAGCACAATCATTGCATTGCAGAAAATGTGCAATTTGCGGCATGCATATGTGTGTGTGTGTGTGTGCATATGTGTGTTGGTGGAAAAGAGACGGTGCGCTGGTGTGGCGCAGCGCAAAATGCGCAAAAGTCTGTAAAAATAGACACACACACACACACAAAATAAGTGAGACGAAAAGCAAAAAACTACAAATTGCTAGCGGAGGGGGCACTGCATAGCAGCAGCCGTAGCCGTAGCCGTAGCCGTGGCATGATGGCGTGCTAAAGTTAATTAACCGACAATTTTCTGCTTTTTCTTCATATTTATGCATTGCTTCAGCGCGTTTCTGATATGTACAACTTTTTTTCACCGCACAAATTCTATCAGCATTGTTATTGCTTTTACGCTTTATTTTCTGTCTGTCGGTTGGAAAAAAAAAAATACTAAAAGTAATAGCAAAAACAAAAAGTTGTGCTCAACATATGTTAGTTATGCACAAAATTCAATGCATAAGTGGCACTAATAGCGCTGCGAATAATTTCAAGTGATTGAGTGACCATGAAAAATAACACAATTAAAATGAAAGCGCTAAAGTAACTGAGAAGCTGGCGCTAAAAGCAATGGAAATATTTTTTATTTCAAATTTTTTTCATATTCAAAGAAATAATTATGTTTGAACAGAGTATCATTGACCTTTGGGCATTTTAGAAAATTAGACAATAAATAACAACATGGCAGCATCGCTGCTGCAAAGCCACCCTACGCCATAAGAAAGGCAACAAATGTTAGAACCAACAACCGACTGGCAACTGATCACCACATATGAATGTAAAAATGTACCACATATACTTATATGTATATAGGTATATGTGTAAATATTTATGTGTGCCACATATGTATGTATTCCCCAACTGTATGTATGCATGTGTGCCACATTTGTGGTCTGTAATACCGCCTTCATTTAGCCTTTGACGCTGACATTTTGTCGTCCCAACTCCAACTGTAGTATATATAATAGTAATGAAATATTTGTGGAAATTCTTCAAAGATTCTAATTTCCTTTTGTTCTGCTTCACATGCATGTATTTTAATATTTAGCCGGCACATATGTGAGTGTGTGTTAAGTATGCTTGCTCTCGCAACGCCACATAATTCAACCGAAAGCGAAGCATTTAAGTGCCGTTTCAGACAGGGACGCAAAAGAGTCTCAAACCAGTTTATTGTGGGTGAGGGGATGCCGAGGAAAGACGAAGGGATCGTGCCACTCGTGTTCGGGTGGCACGCTTTGTGTTCTTGTTCGTAACAGCTCGCTGCTACCCTTTTCAGCAATCCTTTTCACTTTCAAATTCTTTGAATGGTTGCAAGAGCGCCCGGTTTCAAATAAATTCGATCGCAAATTTGAGTTCTGTTATCTATTTTTGTATGTAATGTGCAAATATGTATGCATAGAATAATAGAAATATTATGACAAATTGTAAATAAGGAGAAAATTAAGATATAGATTATGGAGTAAAGAAATTATGAATTTTTAATACGCAGTAAAGAAATTATGAGTTTTTAATACTTAAAGATTAGGAAATTGCTATTATAAATTTGGCCTTGAAAATATTAGTTGCGGATATTCAATACATTCTTGTGGATTAGGGAATTCCCGTCTTTAGTATTTTTTTGAAACTATTTAGCGGGTAGGTACTTGTATTATGCATATTGTTCTACCATATTCATGGTAATTCATTGCAAGCAAAATGTGTGACCATCATCTCAACATACAAATGAAATACGCAGCATGCAGTGTTGCGCGGTGTTGCGCAGTCGAACCGCACAAATATTTACGAACATTTTGTGAAAAGGAATGCAGAAAAACTAGACTCGAGTTGCTGGACTCTTTTTGACCGTGTGAATGCCCAGAGCGACACCAAAAGAAAATTTGAAAAAGATCAGACTCTTTTGCATCCCTGTCTGAAACGGCACTAATTTTTTAAAACCCAACAAAAACCAACAACAACAACTAAATTATGAAAAATTCTTTCTTCGATTTTTCTAGAGGAATTTTGTAGAAGGAGGATTAAATTACCAAAACCGCATGCAATGCGTTACAAGCATTACTTTGTGTTTATATATGTGTTTGTGTTTAAATTTATATGTACACAAATTAGTAAAATGATAGCTAACAGTTTAGAAATGTGAGGAAACGATTTATTTAGATTTTCTTAGATGGAGAAGCGAGATTTTCGAGTGAAAAATTAAATCCAAAGTTTTTTTTTTATGCTTATAAACACTAAAAGATCGCATAGAACTCTACTTCCGCTGCCTAAATAAAACTACAATGCATAACTAAATCTCGCATTGGCGGCTTTATTGACATACATATGTATATTACTTCTAGTTGCCGATAAACTAAATAATTCAAAATAATTGTTATTACTATGAAATACATGTTTCTAATTTGAATGCTCTAAAAACTGTTTAGAAGCAACAACAAAATATGTTGCATAAATAATTATATTACATATTTATGCATGTAAATATAATGATCTTTTCTTCAACCAAAGAAATGTATATGCATCTCAAATATAAGAATTATCCATGAGTGTGTGTACACGCACTTAAAATCTCCATTGGAACTCATAATGGACTCCCTTTCAAATAAAGCTAGTCAGGCATTTTGTTGCGCTTGCAACAACACATGTTGTGAGAAACTTTGCTGAAGTCAATAAGGGCTGAGAAAAATCAAAGAAGTAGAATTAAGGTATAAAAAATGAAAACAAACAAAAAATTACTATAAAAAACTTAAAATAACAAAAATTTGTTTTTTTTAATAAATTAAAGAAATTTAACAACTACAGCCTCCATGCAACAAGTCAACACACAGTCAAATAATGCGCCTGTAGCAGTGCAAGGCAACCGAGTAATACCGAATAATCTAAGTAAGCAACCAACCAAACAGCTTAGCTGCCAGCCATACAGCCTGCCAGCCGGCTAAGCTAGTCACTCACTTAAGCGCTGTTGTTGCAGTCAAGCGTGCGATGAACCAGCGAACCTATAATAATGATAAGCTGGTTTTTAATCAGAAAATTTATTGTATATCTCTCACGTATCGCTTGGCGAGTCGAATTCGAGTTGATGATGGGTTATGGTTGGCCATAATTATAGGTCCTGTCAAATGCTAAATGAAAAGATACACATGCATATCAAAACGAGAGGGTACACAATCATACATATGTACAAACATAAGTATATATAATATATATATTTATATATTATATGTTGGTAGGTGTGCGTGAATTGAGCACCTTTTAGTGTTATTTCACATGACTTTTTGGTGTCTGTAGGTGTGCGTGACTGCAGTTTGGTTGCATGTGTTACGCCTAGTTGTTGTTGGTGGGTTTTTATTAGTTGGAAATAAATGTAGCAACCTTTAGGGTTCACATTTTTAAATTAAAAATAATATAATAACATATTTTTATAAATTGTTTAGTTATAGTCTTAAGCCAATGGCAAAAATTTAATTTTGAAATAAATAATTTTTTTCTTGAAATATTTGTTTTTTAACTTCTTTTTTGAGAAATTGCGAGTTTTTCGTTGACATTTGGCAATTATTTTATTCATATTAAATTATTTATATATTCTAGAAATTCTTACCGCTTGCACTTGTGCCGAAATTGTCTGAAATAAAAAAAGAATATAATTATTAGAATATATTTTTATCGTATTAAGCATATTATAAACGTAAGAAAAAAATATTTTCCATACATAAGTATTTTATAGTAAACACAGCTTAAGTAAAGCCGCGCCTATACTAGTTGCTGCCATTTCTTGAAGGAAAAAACTATTCTTTAAGACTTAGTATTTAGCATAAAATTATACAAAACATAACACAATCCATCTCGAATTCTTAAATTCATTCACAATGCTCACGACTAACTAAAATTAATCAAATTAATATCAAGCCATTAATAAATCTTTGCTTAAAGCTAAACGGCTTGCCACATTCATAGAGTGTTTGTGACAGTCGCGCGGTACGTTTAAATTCACTTGCCTTTATGGTGTCATCAGAAAATTGACAAAAACACTAAAGACCGCTATATTTCACTTTAAAACTGAACAAAAGTGATTTTGTTTGCTTAAATCGATTTGGTGTCTTTTTGTGATTTTCTTTAATTTTTTTCCGGTGATTTTAATACATTATTGTTTATATACGCATAATAACTATGCAACAACTTAAGTCGCGCCCAAATAAAACCAAATAAACATTTTAAAACTAAAATAACAATGCTAAGCCAACCAAAGCCGTGATTTGTTTCGTGGTGTCGGTGTATTTTGGGGGTTTCATAAGCTTTTTTTTCTTCCAAGCAAATAACCAAATAAAAACATACATAAACTAGTACATTTGTTGTTGTGTAGTGTGGCCACGTTTTTATAACATTGTGGCTGTTGGTATTATTAGCGAATAAAAATAAAATATATGTTTTGCCATCAATCAAATTCGTGGCCAATGTGTTGTTCGACTGTGTGTGTTTGTATGCAAGTGTACATGTGTGCGTGTGTGTTTGAGGAAGCACAGGAGTGAATGAATGTACAAATGTATGAATGAATTGAAATTGGAATTAGATGGAATGTATGCAGTGCTCTTGGCCGACCGCAGATATTTCGGAAATATTTCATTTGACTGCGTTAAGAAATCCGTGAGCAAAACAAAAAACAAAAACAAAGTGTTTTTTTTAAATAAAACGAGTATTTTGGAAATCTTATAACGACTTCAGCTGTAGATAAATCATGCCAGAAAATAAGTAAATTAAAGGTTTTTGTTATAATCAAGCTCAGGGCGTTAAAAAGGTCCAACGTTGTATGTTTTTTAAATGTTATTGTTTTCAGTATGAATCAAGGGTTCACTTGTAGGCGTGGTGGTTTCACATTTTTGTGTGGCATCTTGCGATTCGTCATCGGCAAATCAATAAAAAGCAACCATACTTTGATGTTTGCAGTATAGTGGGCGAGAGAAATGTATATTAAAATTTGAGTTGGATATTGAGCATACGTTACAAAGTTAAAACTTTTATTTCGGATTTTGAGTGCTTCCGAGAATTTGCATAAATTTTAGCTAGAGCATGGGAAAGAAAAAAAGTCGCGCTAATGAATTTCATTTGATTTAGAAACGTTTTATATATATTGTATTGTATAATATTCAATGCTGCTAATACGAAAACCAATGCAAGACAGTTCAAAAGCAAGAAAAATTATTAACTTCGGTTTCATCGAAGCCTTTACCCTTCACAAGTTGTGATATTTGATTTTGATGTGTCAGTTTGTATCGCAGCTATATGTTATAGCAGTCCGATAATGGCGGGGTGCAAAATTTCAGATCGATATCTCGAAAACTGAGGGAGTAGTTCGCATATCGACGGACAGACTGGCTAAATCGACTTAGTTCGTCACGTTAATAATTTATATAATACATACATACTTATATACATATGTTACTTTATATTCTCTCCGATGCTTCTTTTTGGGTGTTGCAAACTTTGTGGCAAACTTAAAATACATTGTTCCGAGTATAATTGTATGTATAATTAAGTAATTTAATTCATGTTTTTTTTTTTGTATAAAAATTTGGGGTTCAAATTTATGAGCAGAAAAATTTTTCTTAACTTGAACACTGTAAAGACTTTTAAACCTTCAACAAAATGCAAACAAATATTTTAATAAATTCATATTAACTAGTTTTAAGCACACATTATTTTCTACCTTATTTTTGCAACCTTCAAAAATACAAAATTTTCTTGTACATTCCGAAAATTGGATAAACGCTTATAAAAGTGTCACGATAGCCGGCATTGCAAGCACAAATCCGAAAAAAAACAACAAAAGCCTTCACAAGTGCATAACTCCCTCAGTACATAGGGCAGCTTGTCACATAAATTCAGCTTAAAGTTATAAAAATATATATATATTTTTTTTTGAAAGCGCAACTTTTGCAATATATTTCCTTTAAATACTGTACAGAAAGGCACAGATCACAATGATCGCTCTGCCGATCGTCTTCGCAAAGCCATAACCATTTGTCCCTAGTGAACGATCAGCGGCTGCATCGGCGCAGTATAGCCACTTTCTTGGCCATTTTCCAGCTAAAAAAAATAAAAAATTTCGAAGTACTTCAAAACTAAGCATAATAATTTTGCGCTTCAATGAAATGTGATCCGCCATAGGCCGCGGCGAACGCATAAAAACACCGATCAAGTATAAAGAGACGTGAAATTAAAAAACAAAAAAAATTAAATATTTTTGAAATGATGAGAGAAAACAAAATTAAAACGGCAAATAAAGAGTTAAAGATTAAATGAAATAAATGTAGCCAAGGTAGCGCAGCAAAGCTCGAGTGCAAATACCTGCAACACACCTTAAAATCACTTGGGGATATCATCAGCAACGCAACGCATCGCAATGACAGCGCATAAGGAGCTAAGATGAAGGCTTTTGCTAACTTGGAGGCTGTTGTTGGCTGATCGCGTAGTGATCTTCGAAATTCATAATGAAAAAAGTGGCGATTTTATTTATTTCCGTTTTTCATTTTCAGATTTTTAAGACTTATAGGTATAGAGTAATGCAAGGCAGTTATTTTTTCCAACATTTTATTCAACCACATTACTATTGTGGTGTTTTTTGTTTTTTTTTTTGTTTATGTTTTTTTTGTGACTTAAGGTTTCTTCATTCATTTACGCGCTTGTCGCTTGCTGCGCGCCGCCATTCTTGTTTCGTGTTGCTCTTACTTGTAAGTGCATTGTGTAGATTTGTTGTGCGCTGTTGCTGCTGCTGGTCGAACACGCATTGAAACATGTTGTTGTGACAACAGTTCGCGTAGCTTCGCTTTACTTCATTTCATGCTTTAAGGCTTCATTTCAGCAGCGCCTCTTACACAGTTCAACCGCAGACCGTTTGTGCTAAATGCAGTCAATTCAGTTGACACTTGGCCGATCGAAGAGTTCATAAATAATCGTCTTAGCGGTGGAGTGCTGTTGTAGTTGGCGGCGGCAGCGGTGTTGTTGGTGACGGGTCAGCGATTGATCGCGCCCAACCGGCAAGGTTGCAGCACATATATATATATATATATATATATAAACTCTATAAATATATATTTATATCGTCATCTGAGCACAGCCACTATGCAGCTTACAAATTTAAGCGCTCATTCGCACCTTGATGCACGCGCGCGCTCTTATTTTTAGCACAAACGCGTTGCTTTTATTTGATGGCAGTTTTCTTTCGAATTGCTGACTGACTTACTCCTACTTAGCAGACGGGCGCACTCAGTATAGTCAATTGCACAATCAACACATTGTCAGCATTTAAACAGTGTTGCCCAACCGCCGCGACGCCTGTTGACAATTTCAAATTGAATGCGCCGCGCCGCGTTGCTCCCTGTCAGCGCTGGGATTTGGACGTGGTCGTGCCGCATTTTAAATTGTTGCAAGGATTTTATGCCGCTGTTGAACAGCAAAATGTCAACAATGTTCTTAAGCATTCCACTAGCGTTCTTCCGAGATACACCGACGCCGTGCGCGGGACGCATTCACTGTCGTCGCCGGCCGCGCTGTCATCTAGCGCGATTTTGATTCTACACTGAAGTTCCTTCATTTTAACTGACAAGTTTCTTGCGTCACCTACAACCCACAAATGTACAAATCTGCGTGTATATGGGTGTGTGTGTGTATTCTACGTTTTTACTAATTTCTCTTCGGCCGACTTTCTGCCACCTAACTTTTTTCAGTATGTTGTTTTTTCGATCTTCGCTCGCAATACACTTCGTCGCATTTAAATGACCGAAAAGTCAGTGCCGTCAGTTGATCTCATTTTAATATTCTAGATACTCAAATGAAATACGTGTCTGGCAGCGCAACAAACGTTTATTGTTTCGTTAATTGATTGTAAAAACATTTATATGCTCACAAACAACGGCCACACGTGTTGTTGCTGTTGCTTTTGTATTTATATGCGCCTGTTTGTTGTTGTTTGTATATGGCTTTTGTTAGCGCTTGCTGCTGGTGCAGCACGTCCGTTGCATGCCTCAAATTTAAAATGCACGCTGCATCGGCGCAATTCGCTTTGGCGAAAAATTGGTATGCAAAATCGGTTTGACGACAACTGTCGCGATGTGCACATTCGGTTTGGTAGCGAAATTTGTTGATGTTAATGTGCTTTTATTATTCTTTTTACCTTTTGTAATTTCACAGCTCTTTTCGGTTATTTGCGAAATCGAGTATGCCAATTTCAGTAGCAGCAAATGTCGCCACATATTATCTGTCATATATATGTGTGTGTATATAAGTAATAATTTTGATATTGTTATTGTGCTCGAAGGTCATTGCAAGCTTTGAAACAGCCTTGAAACTGGGCTGGGCCAACGCGTCGCCATTAATGGTTAATGTAAATGCATGAGAAAGCTTTTTTTTACAGAAATAAGACTTCTTTTTCACACTCTGCGACAGATGGAATCAATGGTGGTGTATGCAAACAAATTCAAATAAAACCCGAAAAAAAAAAAATTATAATGTAAAATAACTTTAAATAATTTAAAAAATATTTTTTTTTTATATATTTTCAGATGAAATCAGTTGCGAATTAAAAAGAAAATTGAAAAGATAATAAAAAAAAAGGTTTAAAACTACAAA